ACGACAGTGCACTTGGACAGATGCACAGATGCTTCTTGAAGGTGCTTTCTTCTCTCAGCGCAGCCTCAGTATAATGCATGGCTGGCAGGAGAAGTACAATTGTGTGTGCTAGGCAGATCTTTTTCAGCATTGACCCGAATATTTTTGGTTTAACCTACCATATTCCAGAGTTAATAGAATCCACTCAAATGTATGAGCTATAAACATTATAATATGGACATTTAGAAGTTCTTAAATCAGCCCACTTTATACTGCAGCTCTTATAGCACATCAGGAAGGTATACATACAGTTCCCATCCCTCTCCTCCCCCCTCCACTGTCTTTCCAGTCCTCCTCCATAAACAGACACTCCACGTGATATGATGGTGAGATTCAATGGTAAATGAATTTATTGCAACACTTTTTGCAGGCTTCACTTGTCCACTAATTCATCTTCTCCAGGGCTGATCATCTAACCTCTCAAGTGTCTTTGAATACTTGCCATTGAATAAACAAAATGTCACAGCAATGTCTCCCCTGCAAATCTACTCTGCCTCAAGGTCCAATAAAGGCAAAACTAAGCCCTGAGCCATTGTCTGCTTTTGTTTATATAAAAAATGCCATGACTATTCTGACCACTTACACCCTTTATTGTTAGACAAAGGAACAGTCTTCGCATCCCCACGGAAATTCAGCACTAACTTCTAATCAGGGTAGTTCTGATGTTCTCAGACTTTAAAGTTGTAAACTTTTAATGTTCAGAAAAATTTGGTTAGACTGAAGATTTTATGTTCTCCCCTCCACTGAATCTGATCTGTTAGACTTAAGGTGATTAATGCACCTTGATTTATAAGATGAGGGATATGGGAAATAGTCCTAATTTAAAAATATATATATATTTCTGTTCCATATCAGCCACATACAGACTGCATGATGAAGTGTTATCACATTTTATTGGCACACTTTTGGGATAACCTACATTGCTGACTCATGACGTTACCACTTATGAGTCATGTGCCTACCCAAACTTGCTGATAAAACTGCCTGTGTGCCACCCCATCACATATTCCACACACACACACACACACACACACACACACACACAAATACATGCATTTGTTTAACACATGCTTTTGTGTAGCATAAAAAAAATTAGCACATAAAAACACTAATGCCTAGTGAATTGTAAAACACACAGAGGTTTTAATAGTATTTTTGAAAACTGATGCGAATGGTTATTTTCTCTTAACTAAGATATACAGAGAAGGTACTGAATCCCTGGACACTGCCAACTTGAATCTCATTTTTTGAAATGTTTAGCTGTAAAATCTTCAGGACAAAGGTATTTGGTTTGGTTTGGTTTGGTTTGTTTTTTAAAGTCTTCTAGAAGGCTGAGCACATTGTTGGCACTAAAGAAACCCTTATCTTTAAAAAGCTGGGCTAGCTGGGTGTGTCTGTGCTAAAAACAGGAAGGCTCACCCTGTGGTTAGACCCTGCACTTTAGGACTACGTCTAGACTGCGAGCCTCTTTCAAAAGAGGCTTTTTCGAAAAAAAGTGTCTAGACTACAACCAGTACTTTCGAAAAAGCGAGCTGCTTTTTCAAAAGAGAGCACCCAAGCAGGCTCCAGTTGGACACTGTTTACCACAGGTGGCTCCTTTGTGGTGGTGCAGTGGGGCTAAGGCCCTGCACCACTCTCAAAAGCAGCCAGCCAACTCCCTCTATCCTAAACTCTGTTGTGCCCACACCCCTATTCTGTGGAGATAGAATACAGGGTGGTAGAGGAAAACATCTCCAAGGCAAAGGGTAGGAGGTGCACAGCAGCAAGGGGAGGGGAAGCTGAAGTGCTGTACTTGATAGCCTCTTGGCCAAACCAGTCAAGATCACCTTCCAGATCTACCAGTAGATCCCGCCTTAGTCCTTTTACATCCTCAAAGTGCTGTACACATATAGGGATTAACTTATGCCTGCTCTAGGAAAGGCAAATTACAAGATGCCTGTGCCAGCAGGGGCCTAGAACTCCTATGCACCAGCAATACAGATTCATACCAGGCAAGGACAGGTGCTGTTTGCACAACTGGTCTCCCCAGAGGTTTCTACTGCCAAATGCAACTCAATAAGAAACCCTTATGGGCCAAAATTACTCAGGGGATAAATGGGAGAATTCATTTCCTGGATGTCTTGGTCTCACCTTTCCATGGCCAGTTCCGCCTACCTCTTCTTGAAAAGCAATGTTTGGGAGGCCTTGACACTGCCTGTTGGCTTCCCTTACTCCACATAGGAGCAGAAGTATCAGCCACTGACAGGGGTGCCCTTTGAGTTTGATTTATCGGGTCTTAATTAGACCCGATAAATCAAACTCCAGCTGATTGATCATGGCAGCGTCAATCTTCCATTGATAGACATGGTCTCAGTGACAGTGGCAAGTGCTAGCTGCTTCCAGGGAAGATGTAAGACAGTCTATGGAAGGTATTTAGTCTCCTCCTAGCTTCCAGGAATTAGAAGTTAACTGAAGTTATGAAGCATGAGGATTTAATCCTTTTTAAATTTTTAAATGTTATTTTTTTAGTATTTACCATTTTAATTGCATATTCTTTATTATTGTTACTAATATATGTTTAAGTGCTGGCTAAAAAATGGGATTTCCATTCCAAGAGCAATACTAATATCTGAACATTTGTTTTCTTTCCAGATCAGGACAAAGGAAAACCATTATCACACAAATAAAAAATTCAGTTAATAAATAAATCATTTGTTTTGGGTCAATCAAAATATTCCATTTTAATACAATCACAATGATTGCTGATGTTTTTTTATGTTCAGGTGGCTATTTTTTTTTTTTTATCAATTTTAATGCATTCTTTCATATAGACAACCTGTTTATACTGCTTTATATACTATGTGCTGACATGTAAGTACAATATTTATATTCCAGTTGCTTTCTTTTATAATTATAGGGTAAAAATGAGGAAGTAAGCAGTTGACATATTTGTATTTGGCTGGGACATTTTTATTTTCATGTCTGATTTTGTAAGCCAGCACTTTTTAAGTGAGATGAATCGTAGGGTGCATGCAAGACAAACCAGACTCCTAAAAGGTAGTACAGTAGTTGGGAAAGGTTGAGAGCCAGTGTTCTACATCAACCCTCTTCCCCTACCATTACAGTGTCAAGAATATGGGGATGGGGTGATCAGAGTGTGCAGTGCTTCAGTTACATTCACCTGGTGAACAGTCCTTTAGAGCTGTCAGAATTTAGAGCACCCCCCACGTGCCTCTAAAGTACAAGACCTGGAGTAGAGAAACAGGGACTTGTAAGTGGGCTCCCTGTGAGCCCCACATCTTTGCAGCAGAAAACCCTGACCTCCATTTCCAAGATCCAGCTACACCTTAACCCAGGGCTACTCAACACACAGCCCATTTGTTTGTGGCCCGTGGTGCAGTTTGGGTTCACGCGGCGGGCTCAACGTGCAGTCTGCAGGTGGGATCCTTTAAACATGGCCTCCACTGGGAACACACTCCACAATGGCGAGGCATCTCCCGGGCAGGATGAGCACTGAAAGACGCAAGCAGATGGGCTGGCTGGAACAGATGCATACAGGGTGTCGGCATTTCTAGTCCCCAAAGAGGAGGTGCCAGGAGTGCCGGGGCATTGTGTGAAAGAAACTATCTGCATATATGTGCATATATATGTGCATGTACATGCAACCACACTTAAGTTGAGGTCTTTGGAATGTGCTGTGAGTATCATTGTGGCCCCCGGGGCTTCCAAAATTGAGTAGCTCTGCCTTAACCCCTCAGCATTTCACAATTAAGCAGCAGAATGCCTTACTTGATATGGTTAAGGTTTGATTCTGCACCCACAGAAATCAATGACAAAGGTCCCAATGACATTATGGTGCAGAATCTGGCCAATTCTGCATGAAAAAAATTGCTCTTCTAGTTTTCCCTCTGTCCATTAAAGACACAAGTCCACTGCAAGTACATATGGAAGATATAATATACTACTAAATCACATCCAAGGAAATAACCTTCAGTTTATATTCCCCTGAAATCCCTTTTAGCTAGGGTTACATATGACTATCTGTTATATTATACCCAACCCAATTTAACAAAAGTGAAATATTTTATTTGGCAAAGTCCAATCAGAATGCAATTCAGAAGCTATTGCTCCATTCAGCTTCCCAGCCTCAATCAATCTCATTCCCTCTCCTCAGCTATGAAAGATGAGCTATTGTCCGCTCCCTTCTAAGGCTAAATACAAAACAACTGCCCGCCACTTGGTTTTCTTAACTACTGTAGATTTAGTGGTATCTATCAGTATCAGGATGTGGGGTTCCATTCTATGGTTGTGAATAGACACTCAGGCACAGCAGACAAGCATTACATATGGTCCTTTCAAAGTCAAAAAGGGATTTCCCCTATGCCCTGATTAATTTTGTCATAATAATCTAACTGGTGTGAATCCTACCCAGATCTCAGCCTGCTGGTCTCAAGCACTCAATGATACTAGTAAACTTCAGTTTTATCTCTTTTCTAGCATGTGTAAATCTTTCCTTTGTGACAAGCATCTCAGAACTCAGCTCCTTCAGATACTGATGCCAGGTCAACACTAAAAGGGAAAGTCAAATCAAGATACACAACTCAAGGTGCCAGGGAGTACCACTGCCAATGAGGGCACCCTTTGAGTTCAATTTACCTGGTCTTAACTAGACTTGCTAAATCGAACTCCAAAAGATTGATCGCAGCAGCATCATTCTTCCATTTAATGAAGACATGGCCTGAATGTTTAGTGGGTCAGTTGAGTTGCCTTAGTGACCATTGTCACTTATTCTGTAGCATGTTCAAAGCCGGAGACATTTCAGTTTAAAAAAGAATTTTTGGGTACATGTTCTTTTTTTTAATTAATTAGTTTTATTGTACTTTTGGTTTAATGATTTGATGACTTATTTACATTTGTCCTTTACTGATATTTTAAAAGTAAACTATAAAGTATGACAGGCAAATAACATTTTCATTACTTACAGTTTAACAAAGAAAGTCTATTTCTGGAAGCCTGTCCTGAGCTCTGCATATAAAAATAAAGAAAAAAGATACCAGATAGGAAATAGCAATTGAAATTGATGGCTAGCAAAAGTTCAGTTGCTTCACTTAAAAGTCTTACTGCAGTAATTGAATATTTGTATGGAAATCTAAGGCATTTTCAAATAACAATAACAGATTATGCCAGCTGGAGGTATGTTAGATGATTTAAAAAACTGAAATAAGAGTTTTTAAAAACAAATAAAGGAAAAGACAAAATCCTAGCATGGTTAGCGAACAATTTTTCACATTGTTTGCTAAAGGAAAATTACATAGAACTTTTTGAATGTGGTTCTAATTACAGTTTGGAAGGTGCAAGCTTCCTTTTCTCCATTCAGTCACTTGTAGTCCATTTATTAGCATAGCCTCTTTCACACCTTAGGGTTGTCACAGTTGCTAGAGCTTCCATAGGATAGCTCCACTTTTTCCATATTGCCTGTGTCAACTGTCTCATGCCCATCTGTTTTCAATTATCTTTCGCTCTGAATTCTTCAGGCAACATTTCTTAAAAGATGTTTTCATCTTCCATTCACAACATCGGGGTCTGAAAGGACATTGACAAAGCAAACGATAGGGTATTGTAGCTGTGGGTCTGATCTTTGTCTTGCTGATATTTGTGAAGCTTCAGTGAAGTCAATGGAATCACATGGGCTCAGAGTAGAGCGTGACTCCTCATAAGCCATTAACTATCCTTTTCCCCTGCACAGCTTAGGTTCATATGTATCAAACTCTAGGGTCCTGACCCAGTAAGGCATTATTATTATGGGGCAGAGGGATAGCTCAGTGGTTTGAGCATTAGCCTGCTAAACCTAGGGTTGTGAGTTCAATCATTGCAGAAGCCATTTGGGGCAAAAATTTGTCAGGGATGGTACTTGGTCCTGCTATGAAGGCAGGGGCCTGGGCTCAATGACCTTTCAAGGTCCCTTCCAGTTCTAGGAGATAGGCAATCTCCATGGCTGTGTCTAGACTGGCCGGGTTTTCTGGAAAATCAGCTGCTTTTCCATAAAAACTTACCAGCTGCCCAAGGAGTAATGGGCTTAAAGTGCAGCAGGGGAGGTTTAGATTGGACATTAGGAAAAAATTCCTAACTGTCAGGGTGGTCAAATATTGGAATAAATTGCCAAGGGAGGTGGTGGAATCTCCCTCTCTGGAGATATTTAAGAACAGGTTAGATAGACTGGCCAGTTTTTCCGGAAAATCAGCCGCTTTTCTGGAAAAACTTGCCAGCTGTCTACACTGGCCACTTGAATTTTCGCAAAAGCACTGACTTCCTACTGTAAGAAATCAGTGCTTTTTGCGGAAATACTATGCTGCTCCCATTCGGGCAAAAGTCCCTTTTGCCCAAAAGGGCCAGTGTAGACAGCTCAGATTTGTTTCCGCAAAAAAGCCCCAATCGCGAAAATGGCGATCAGGGTTTTTTTGCGCAAAAGCGTGTCTAGATTAGCCACGGATGCTTTTCCACAAAAAGTGCTTTTGCGGAAAAACGTCCGTGCCAATCTAGACGCTCTGTTCCGAAAATGCTTTTAACGGAAAACTTTTCCGTTAAAAGCATTTCCGGAAAATCATGCCAGTCTGGACGTAGCACATTAGTTTAATTTAATGCATTCACATTGAAGAGCAAGGGTTTGCAGGATCGGCTAACAGACTTTCATTTTAAAGAGTTTCTTTTCCTCCCTCTTTTATGATTCCCATGTCATAATTTCTTAAGTGCCAGCTGTGAGCTCAACACAGTACAGGACTAAAACTAATATGGTCTCTGCCCCAAAGAGCTTACAGTCCAACAAGATAGATGCAGAGAAGATAGGGAGGCTTTCGATTGACTTCAGTGAGCTGTGGATTAGTCCCTAGGATGCACTTGGAAGCCCAGATAAGGGAATCCATTCCATAAGTCCTCTTGCTGTCTGTCCTTGCTCAATGCTTGTTAGATGGTCCGTCAGTTAAAGTCTCACTTCCTTGTTAGGAAGTATATAATGCGCTTCTTTCTTCTTCTCTTGTGAAACTCAATGTTCCCAACTAAGTGGTGCCATGTGACATTACATATCCCTCCTAAACACCTGCTATCAAATGCATCAAATCTTTTCTTGTCAGCTTGCGTAATGCCCCAGGTCTTTGCAGCATCAAGCAAAACTGATACCACACAGCTGTTGTAGAGTCTTATTTTTTGTTTTGCGGACATGTTGCTACCCCATACTTTTGCCCTTGAATTTGTTTACATTGATCTTCACATTATGCCCGTCATGCTTAAATGATACTAAATCCCCCAAAACTGGTCCAAAGCACCAGCCATGAAAATAAAATAGCCGTGATAAACATTGGCACCCATATGGGCCTGATCTTAGAGAAAGCAGAAAACCAAACAAGTATTTTTCTTCATAAGCTAGAAAGGTATTATTGTGCTAAAACATACTTGCTGATGTCTAATAAAGATTTCAGTTTTAGTTTTTGGGGGATTTTTTTCAAAATAATCTCTTACATTTAGAAATACTCATTGAGAAATGGATAGCTTTTTTATCTTCTTCAAATGTTACTCATAGTTATCAAAGTAGTTTTCTGTGGCCAATCACAGAGGACAATATTTTTCTTTATATCTATCACAAAGGATCCAGGGGTTTTTTTTAGAAGAGAAAGTTTGGTATTTTGCTAATTTCTTTAACGAGATCTAGTGTCACAATTTAAAAGGAAAAAGAAGTCAGAAGCTAAAAGCATGACATGTATATACTTGCATACTTTCTCCTGATGTAGGTGATTGTTGTATTCAATTAGATATGTCCCTCATGCTGTTTGTATTTTTCTTGAAAAATATAGATAATTTAAAAGAAAACTGACAGGTTGAGAGTCATGCTTGCAATATTTAAATTAAACTTTCCTGATTTATTATTATTATTTATCGATTTATTATTATTATTTATTTTATTGTATGTTTGCTTTGCTGCGTTGTACAGTAGGGAGAACTTTCTTAATAAATGTAATATTTAATATACAATCTAAAGGAAAAAGTTATTGGAATAAGTGTTTAACCCACTGTAAAATGTAAATTTAAGGAAAATGTGATATACAACTAATAGACACGTATAGGTAAGTATATTCTAGATAAGAGTTGTCTCTAAAGCAATAAAAGCTGTACACATTAGCAATATGAGCATTTTATGGCACTGTATATATTAATAATCTTGTTTAAAATAAGGATAATCTATTCTTGACTCTTTTTAGTTGATTACTTGTGAAGACAATTTTCTCAACCCTCCTGCAACAACTCATTCACGGACCTAACTTTCATTACTTGAGTGGTCTTAAGTTCAGGAGTAGTACTCAGATGTTTATATTAAAAATGGGTTATCTCCATTAGGGATGATCAGGATTTTCAGTTTGCAATCTCAATAACTTGGCAATTAACTTGGGTCTTGATAAACATTTCTGATACATTAGAATAAGTTCCATCTTCACAGTTGCCTAAAGTGAAATATACCAGTGCTCACTATCAGACTGGTTTGTTAATTTTGTTCATTGATCTTCTAACTTTTTAATCAAAAGTTGCCTTTATGTTCATTTCAAAAAATTCAGAAATATTTTATAATCATGATAAATAAAGATAGCACTTGACAGAAAAGAAGGTCTATTATTACAACAACAGTTAGGTCTTTAAAAATTGCCCAGTGAATGCTGTCTCTGCAGTGCCTGTTTCAGATACTCCATTTATCATCATCCCATGAATATGTTTTTTAAAGTCAATATTCTGTCTTTAAAAGCACATTTCAAAAGTTATAGGTCCAGCTGGGAGCCATTAAGAGCAAACATACCTTGAACTAGATTTGGGTGCAAACATGCAAACATTTAGTCATGCAAATCATTCATATACAGAGGAATAGAAACCCATAATTTTAATGTTCTTTCTTTGATTTGGACTTGAAGTGAGAGACGTGAAGTCAAATCATGATTTATGAAGTGAAATCAATAGTAGTTTTGCCATTGACTTCAAAAAGGTAAGGATTTTATTCTTGGGTTCTGTTCCCAGTTTGTGATGTCAAGGATTACTTTGGGGAATATAGATAATTTTGATTTTTTTCATCAGAAAAAGCCATTTCAACTAAACCAATTTTTTTCTGACAATTTTTGAAGAAATTTTATTTTGGAACAAAAAAATAAAAGAAAATAGTTTCCAATAATTAGAATGGAAAGTTTCTATATTTCATTCTAAAATGACTTTTATTTCATGTCCACTTTATTTTGTACAAAATGGTCAAAAATTAAATGGACCCATTCTGAGTGACCCAAAATGAATTGTTTTTTCTCACAGCCATGAAAATTTTGGATTTTTATACCTGTGTGGAATTAAACATTATTTTCAAAATCTACATTTTCCACAGGATGGGTCAGAAGCAATGGCATTCAAGCAAAACCAAACCAAACGTAATCCAAGAGTGTTTAAAAATATCCTATGTTAATAATGATATAAACTTAGATTTTTAAGAGTGCATTGCATTTCCGTCATTTATTTTGCTTCCCCCTTCTTCCCCTCTATTCCCAAATTCTATCTGGTAATGCAAAGAGAAAAAGTATCCTGGCAGTTCAAAACTGAGATTCCTCTTTCTCCTGGTATTAGTGAGAACAGAATCAACACCTGGAATTGTAACACAAAAACATGAAAGATACTGTGGGATAACTTGTGATTTCAGCGGGCTACTCGTTGAATACGGACTAAAAGACCTATCCCAGAGCAAGAGTGTATAAAAACCATAGTTTGTTTGTATAAATATAAAATATTGATCATAGTTTGTATATATTTAGACACACAAAGTATGCTTAATATTTTTAAAAAGAAATACTCATTTTTCAACTGCATTAAGTGAAATATTCTTTAAATCTTGTGTCAATTTGCTATTTGAAGTCTGCTTAAAAAGGATTTATTCTGAACCCTACAGTAGCATAGTAATGAGACAGAACATTTTAAAAGCTTTAAAACGTGGTCTGGATATTGTACAGAATGTGCGATTTTTATAGCAACAATGACCTCAGATGTAGGCGCTTAATAACTGTCTTTTCTGCCAAGCCCATGTCAAGTGAACCAAAAAGAGTCCAGCTGACTGTGAACATACATGTGCCTGAGATCATTATTTCTGGGGAGCAAGGCAACAAAGTCAGGTCAGCAGAGTTACCTGGGCTCTATAGTACTAGCATAAAGTGCCATAACACATATATTATTTAACTAGCACCATTAGCAAAGTGCAATGTGATCTTCTTTTGCTTTAAATTAAACCTCTTTTTTCAAATGAATTGAAATGTGGCCAAAGGGCCTGATTGCTGTTGAAAACCATTGCAACCGGCTTTGACTCAGAAGAGTTAGATGGAGCAGCACCATAAACTTTGTGCAATGCAGATGAAAGGAACAAATTTTATAGGAGTATCGTTTGTGTTTTAGTAGCACCTAGAGCCCCCAGGAAAAATTTAGGGTCCCATTGTATCCGGAGTGGGGAGGAAGGGCAGGTCGTGGAGCACCCACGGGGCACATCTCAAAGAACAATCGTTACCTCACAGGGTGAGTAAC